CCAGAAACCAGCAGATTATTTTCATTTAAACCTCGAGAATGCAATTTGTGGTGTTTTAAAATTTCAGTATGTTGCTACGGTTCCAGAGTACAACACAAAAACTGCAACTACGACTGTTTTGCTAGGATTAATTGCTTGTTCAGAGGCAACATTTCTATTAGATTTTTTTCTTCTAAAATGGAAAGGAAATATGTTACACACACACACACACACACACACACACACACACACACACACACACACACATATATATATATATATATATATATATATATAGCCAGTTCTGACCGGAATGTAAAAGAAATATGCTGCAGCCTATTTTTATTTATTCATATCACATTTATTAAATTATTTTTACATTAATATAAAGGGTGGATTCATAAACCTAGTGTGGTTCTCAATATGAGAAGGGTTTTTATTTTGTTAATGCAAACTCACTCTTCTTGGATATGCTTTGTGCAAAGAAGCTGACACATATTTTATGCTTCTTTAACTTAACCTTCAGTTTAATTCACATTAGTGCTCTATGATTCTTTTGTAAGAACACCTTAAACTAAATAATGATTTATTGTATTTACAAAAAATGCTCCTATTGAGATTCATTGAGATGTCTTATGTTCCTTTAAAACATTGTTCTGGAATCTCATTAATCTTATTAGATTTTTTTTTCTTCTGCATTTAGCTTTTAGCTACTGTTTTTCTATAACTAGCCGTTGGCAAATATTTGCAAATGTTAGCCTTTAGCTTCTGTTTAGTTCATTTTGTTTTCTTTTGAGTTTTGGCTACAAAGTTGGCAATTCAACAGGTCATCTGGACAGTTTATTTTTTTTGTGCTGAAACATTTCGCCTTCAGTCCGGAAGGCTTCATCAGTCAAGGAAACATACAACAAAACTGATTCTTCCCCCAACAGCTTACTCCAAAGTGGAACAAACTAGTTCTGCTTGTGATAAGATGGTCTCTTTGGTACGCCCCTTCCTCCATTGCCAGCCCTCTTCCTTATTGACAGTCTTGTCAAACTGGTTGAAAACAACAAAGTCCATGCTCAATAATCCAGGTCTAAAATCCAACATTTTTCCATCTTCCATCTTATCTCAAGCAGAACTGGTTTGTTCCACTTTGGAGTAAGCTTTTGGGGGAAGAATCCGTTTTGTTGTGTGTTTCCTTGACTGATGAAGCCTTCCGGATCGAAGGCGAAACGTTTCAGCACAAAAAAAAGAAACTGTCCAGATGACCTGACTGAAAAATGTTGGATTGTATACCTGGATTATTGAGCATGGATTTTGTTAAATTTGGCAATTGTAGCTTTTGGTTTGCTAATTTGACTTCCTGTTCAGCATTCACTCTTCCTTTTTGTATAACATGAAAATTTCCCTACGTTAATTTTTTTAATTTCTTTAGAAGTCTGAGTATGGCAGCTCCTTTCATCTTTTTGTGTTCTAACTGCATCTTTAAAAAGCCCCGCTGCGTTCTGAGAGATAATTTTCTCTTTCATCAACAGCTAACAAATGATTCATCTGAGCTGTTATTAATCCAGCCCTAATTTGAACAGTTACTATTATTTTGTTGAAACACACAGGACAAAAATGGAGATTTCAGCTTTACACTTTCACACAACCTGTCGCACCCATTTGTACGTGAATGGTGCTGAATAATACACGGCAACAACCTCACAACTGTTCCCCATGACTCCTACAGACATTTATGACATGCCCTCCAGCTACGTGGGGGAACAAGCGCTTGATTCCAATAAAATATAAATGAGGTTTGTCAGACACAGTTCAGGGCTGGACACAGCACCGTTTCTTTGTTCCTAAATCACGAGAAACCCACACAGGTGCAGCTTTTTATGCATTTCTCCTTTTTTTTTTTTCCTCTGGAGGATTCTGCTTCCTCTCTGCTAAAAGCCCAACGCATTAACTAAAAGCTTCATGAAATATAAATGCTTGATATCAACTAAAAATATAAAACAAAGTGAGGTGGCATACAACTCTTTAAACTGCTCAATGATTTATGGCGCACTTGTGGTGGAAAAGAAAAAGGAAGACAGAAGCATTTAGTTTGCTTTTAGGGTGTTTATTATGAAGCTGTGAGGGTCCTTGGGGGGAGCTGGCATTTCACCCACAAGAGCATTAAGTGAGTTATTGCTAAAGGTGGAAGAGCTGCTCTTTAAACGAATAAAAAAAAATCCTTTCACCTACAGGATGCGCTCCGTTGGCTTGTTTTTAGGACAACCTGAGATGTTTGTCTGCTTTTGGCCAGAATCCGTTTTGATTTTTTAAATTTTTATTATATTATAATAATAACATATCTTGAACTGTAAAGTGTAAACATTAAAGGACTATTATAAAAAAACCACCAACCCTGACAACTGTCTTCAGCAGAAATAACTGGTTCTCCAGTCTGCCCTTGATTTGTCCAGTCCCTGCGCTGGTGTTGAGGTCGAGCAAAGCGAAGTTCGTGCTTCTCTCAAATGGCAGAACTGTCTGAACTTCCAAACATCAAAACTGTTCAAGGGGCTGAAATTAAAATGGTCCCATCTTGTAAGTATTTTGGCATCATTATTAATATAAAGTTGTCTTTTAAAACGCTCATTGAAATGCTTGTGTTTGTGGGAGTGGTGGTGCAGAGGCTAGAGAAGGTGGGCCTGTGATCGGAAGATCGCCGGTTCAACTCTCGGAATCGACAACATCAAAATGTGGTTGGGATAGGTGAAGCACCCACACCTGCCTCCACCCTCATTTGCCCCACTCTGGGACCTTGAGCAAGGCCCTTAACCCCTACCATCTGCTCCCCGGGTGTCCTAGATTTCAGCTTTCTGCTCCACCCAGAGGGGTGTAGTAGCTCGGTGGTCTGTGGTTGCATCAGGAAGGGCATCCGGCGTAAAAACAATTGTCAAGTCTTTGTGCGACTTAGTTCGATGTGGCGACCCCTGAAGAAGGGAGCAGCCGATAGAAAAAAAAAAAAAAAATTGAAATGCTTGTCTCAGACCTCTAATTATTATTTTTTTAAAGTAAACCTTGTTTTTCTTTTCAGAAGAGACGATTAATTTTCTCCACTTGTTTGCCTTGAAGTACACTATGAATGAACCTAACCACCACCTAAGGTTGGATCTTGTCTACCACTTTGCTTTGTGTTTTTCATACTGCCTGTGCAAATTGTATGCATGACTGTCTTCTGTGGGACACTATAAAATGGACGTCTTTGTCTGTCAGACCCTCAGATTGCTTGTTTTTGTTTTCATGCAGGACCACGTGTCACCTTCAGCACTGTCTTAATTATTTGTGTCATAAATTCAACAAGGCGTTGAAAACATCCCTCTGAGATTTAAATTCATATTGACATGATAGCCTCATGCGGTTAATGAGTTCAACTGGTTTTAGATCTGGTGACTGTGGAGGCCGTTGGAGCCCAGTAAACTGACTCATCAGAGCAGGTTATGAATTTTCAGTCCATCTCTTTTTGTCTAGTTTTGGTCAGCCTGTGTGAAGTGTTTTTTTTTTATTTTAGCTGACAGGAGTGTCAACCTGTGTGGTCTTCTGCTGCCGTAGTTCATCTGCTTCGAGGTTGGACGTGTTGCATGTTCAGACAAGGTATTCTGCAGATCTCAGTGGGAACAAATGGGTAATTGAACTGCTGTTGCCTTTTTATCATCTCCAACCAGTCTGAACCAGGAATTTTCATCTACAAAACTGCTGCTCGCTGGAT